TAATAAATTTCATAAAGAACGGTAAGGGGCACTTACCCAAATAAGTGTTATCTGGGAAATACTTACTCCGATTAGCACATTTATCTAGATAATTGGGTTATCCAAAAACAAATGAAACCTTTAGGGGTGGATTCGAACCGAGTCGAGCTGAATAGATAATTATTTGACCTCGGCTCACCAAGGTAGTAAAAGGCTCGATCTCGAGCTCGAGCTCAGTTCGAATTAGAACCTTGAGCTCGAGCTCAGCTCGAGTCAAAGCTTGTAAGCTCGAGCTCGGTTCGGCTCGAGCTTGACTTGAGAAAAATGTTTTATAAAAGTAAAAAGGTTATATATAAAAAATATTTTTATTTGATATTTAAAAAATTAAGAACTATAATAATTAGTTATTATTATATATAAAAATAAAATATTATATATATAATATTTTCTATAATTTTATATTATTATTATTATTGTATGTATGTATGTATATATGTATGTATGTATGTAGCTATTCGAGCCGGCTCACGAGCCGAGCTTTATTAGGCTCGATCTTGGCTCAAAACTCGGTTGAAACTGAGCCGAGTCGAGTTTTTCACGAGCTGAGCTCGAATAACTTGGTAAGAGCTCGACTCGTGACCACCCCTAGGACCTTAGCATTTATGACTGGTGTGGGGTATTATCATTGGTTCCACAGCAGACTAGATAGTCATTGCATTCAGCTAATCTAGATTACAATGTGAAGTAATGGAGCATCCACCCAGTTAAGCCCAAAATAAAAAAAGGAAGCTGTCTTTGGATAGGGAAGACATGATACTGAAAAAGAACCCAGATTTTCTACTCGCTTTCTCTACCCACACCCTACCCATTACAGCCACACATCTCACAATACAAAATGACGATGTGTGGCTGCAATTCAAGATGGATAGGGTGTGAGTAGAGAGTAGTGAGCAGAAAATCCAATTTAACTGGAAAAACTTACAACCAATCAACTGGCATTAGGATCCTATCAGGTGGGTTTTAACTAAAAAAATCATGGCCATTGTGATTGGTCAAAGCCTAAATTGGATGAAAGTTCAAAAAATTGCTCCAACAAATTAAAAATACCTTTATGAATGGGGACCTCTTTTGTAAATCCTTTCAGCCTTTTTCTTGTCTATTTATTTGGACAATAGATTGCAGGCCCACTCATTAAACAAACAATATCCCAATTTCAACAAACCATCACTCTCATGAAAGACAAACAATCCATGATTACGAGTCAAAGTCTTTTAGCCAAAAGGCAAGGAAAAATGGCCGTATAGAAAGTTTTCATATTGAGCTTTTGGCTTTAGCATATGAAAGGCTTTTGGCTTTTTATAAAAGCCTCTTTTTGTAGCTTCTCAAAACAGTTCAGTGAAAGCAATTCAACCCAAGATTCGGCCCCCCAAACCGACCCCTGTCTTTGGAGCGGCTTTCTAGACAAGCTTCTTTGAGTGGCTTCTTGAAATCAGCTGAATTAAAGCAATTATACAATAAGGTGATATTTGATAAATCTGAAGTCTGAAGTTGGAAAAAACAAATAATTGTTATTTGGATCTAAAATCTTAAAAGAAATAGAAATAGTTTTTACTTTTTAAAGGCTCTAAAAAGATAAGATCATTTAAAGCAATTCTCCTACATTTGAAACTGTAAAATTTATTATTATACCCTTGCAATTGACCATTTGATAATATTATAAATTGTTAGAGACACCAGARGTAGCATCCATTATGGTGCACCCGTGCATGGGCCCATGTGTAAAGCACAACCAAAGAAGGAAGATTTGCTTCCTTYTATGGCTGAACCGGTTAAGGAAACTGAAATTAAACATATTGCCAATTCTGCTACTAATCTATAATATAAAGATTTGTTTCTATTATTTGTATATATTTCCTTCTATTTTTTATTATATTCTCTCTCATTTTTTTTGTTCTTTCTTATTGGTGTAAGTTACGACTCTTGTAATTGGCATTATTTCAATATAAATATAATAAACCCATGCCAATTTGGATGGGTCAATTCATTCTCCCTTAACCTACTTTATAAATAATAAAAATAATATTAAATAAAGTAGTATTCTATGAATAAACAAATATTGTGATTAGTTGAAATAAATAATTATCTATTACTTAATTAATAATAATATTTATTATTATTATTATTATTATTATTATTATTAAATGGGTCATTTACTAAAATGCTCCCTATAGTTTCATGAGTTTAGTAAAACCTACCTATAGTTTGTGTTTTATTAAAACATCCTCTATAGTTTATAATCAATTTACTTAATCGACCTTCCATTCTTGCCCTAATAAAACAAGGGCAACCATTCTATTTTCTCTATTTGGTCAATTTTGCTTTCTATACAAAAAAGTGTTAGGGATACTTTTGAATAAACAACCATGGATCCATAACCTTGAACATTTTTCCACTCAATTTAGGGGTACTTTTGGAATAAACAACCATGGTTTCATACCCTTAAACATGTTCCACTAGTTTAGGCGATCATGTTACTATTATCAGATGCCATAACAAATGGTTCTTAATGAAAGATTGATTAAGTAAATAGTTTGCAAACTATAAGGGATGTTTAAGTAAAATACAAACTATAGGGTAAGTTTAAGCAAATCTGTGAAACTATAGGGGGTGTTCTGTAAATAACCCTTATTAAATAGATGATAGTAATGAGGGCATTAACATCATTTTTTCATGTTTGAAACGCATCTAATTTTGGTAAGACATTGATGTCTTACCATTTCAGATTTGAATTTGTGTTTTAGATCCTCTAATTAGACCTAAACCCAAATGCCAATGAGTTTGAAAAAGCAAAGTTTTCAGACATCAGACATCTTAAACGTTTTATCAAATATCACCTATCCATTTGTAGAATTCTTATAGTTTTAAGATGTGCCCCACATASAAATCTAAGTTATATTTGGTGAAAAAAAAAATCAAAAGCTTAAGTACACTTCTGCTCAACCAAGAATATAGATAAACTGATTTTAGTAGCTTTTCGAGAGTGGCTCTCTTAGAGAAGCCAAATTCTAATAGAATTTTCAAAGAAGTTCAACCAACATAGTTGCTGAAACCTACTCTAAAATTTGGTAATTGCAATCACCTCTCCTGAACTTTCTGACACTTAAGTAGACCCCCTCACAAAAAATGTCCAAAATACCTATGCGTGGTTGGTTTCTATAGAAAAATAGTAATACAAACTTTATCAACAACAAAAAATAGAGTTTAAAGTTGCAATTTTACCTTTGAGCCATTGATATGAATAGTAATACAAACTTTCTAACACTCTACAAATTTGTATTTGTACTCTTTCCAAACTGAGCCAGAACTTTACAAATTTGTATTTGTACTTTTTCCAAATTAAGCCCAAGGGAAAATTTGGAAAGCAAATCAATTTTGGAAAAGAGATTGGAAAGGCTTAGGACAGTGATTAATATAAAGAGAAAATTTGGAAAGTAAATATTTTGATCATTCTTCATGCCTTTTGCTAGAGGGGTCTACTTGTGATTGTGTCTAAAAGTTCAAGRGAGGTGACTGCAATTACCAAACTTCATGGAAAGTTTTAAAAACTTTAGGAGAGGTTTTAGCAATTTATCCTAAGGCTCTATTCGTTTTTCGGGAAATAAGAGGGGGAGAAAATTTTACTATATTCTGATTTTAATAAGCTTTGGACCATATGATAAAGTTGATTTCCCTACATATGATATACATCTCCTTGGTGAATAGGAATGGCAATGGGGCTTTGTCAGACCCATACTTGACCCCAAATTTAAATCCCCTGCCTCGAACCCTAGCGGGGTGAAAAAAACTAACCCCATCCCCGCCCTCATAAGGAACGAGGATCCCCAACTTTGCCCCACCCCACTCTAGTCATTCTTATTTGTATATTTATTAATTTATTTTTTTATTTCTTTAAACCTACCTAGAACTATTTTATATTGTGTAATATAATATAGTATAACATATTATATTATATTATATTATATTATATTATATTATATTATGTTATATAATGTAGTAGGGGCGGGGTCATGGTTGGGGATGGGGCAAGGTGGATAAATACGTTCCTGCCCCATCCTTGACCCTAAAGTTTTAGGTTTTCCCTGAAACCCGCCCCAAACCCCGATCACTGGTGGATAAATCATGGTTTTCAAAACCGGACCATAGGAATCGGTCAAGTGATTGGTTTCGATTTTCCTCAAAACCAGATTTTCTTCAAAAATAGTTGATTTTGGTAGGGAAACCGTTGACCCGGACTGTTAATTGTTCGAACGGGACCATTTTTTTTTATTTATTATTTTTGTCAAAACGGGCTGATCATTCAGTTCAAACGGTCGAACCGTTCAACCCGGTAACCTGATCCCTGACCAATTCGATCTCCGAGTTAGTTTTAAAATCCATATTAATTTTCTCACTTAAATAAAAATTTAGAAAACATAATTAGAAAAATTTACCCACTATAACACTATCATCAAATATAATATGAATAATTAAACTTACCCGAATAAATATTTCACATTTTCCCATAAGTACATTGAAAGTGGACTTTTAAAAAATCAAGGAGAGATGTGAGGCTATCGAAAATTCGTGAAGATGCATTTACTGGCTACCAAAAAGTTAGCCATCCGCACCTCACACACGGCAGAGTGCACAGAAACTACAAACAATACACACCGACGTCCACCGTTATATTAAACCGTTTCACACCTATTCACACTTCTCACAAATGCATCTTACACCACGCATGTGAAATATTCTACGTGCGGCCAACTTCAATTCCCATGAGTGCCATGCCAATGTTTCTCATAGTCGCGCTACACTGAATCATTTCCAAGATCGAAATCTAAGATTCTGTAATTGAATCAGCATTCAGCAGCTACCACTGCATCTTAGAATTTACAGATGGCTTTGGTTTCTTTTTTGGGAAAATCATAAATGCAGCTTTTTCGTGTCCTGAGGACACGTGGCAAATATAGTATGTGCCTAGACCTTGAGTTCAGACTTTAAAGCCCCGACCCCCGAAACTTCACTCGTTCGTTTCATTCCACGCAGCTCCCCGTCTGAGATTCCATCCATGGAGCGAAGAGGTGGAGATCACAATGAGAACGGTAGCTACATCTTCTCCGATCTGTCGGACCGCGACCTGTCGGACGGGAAGGCCGACAAGAAGCGATTGGAAGACGATGAGAAGGAGTCGATTGAGCGGATCTTCGACAGCCAAGAAATTCCCCCATGGCAGAACCAGCTCACGTTGAGAGCGTTCGCCGTAAGCTTCCTTTTGGCGATTCTGTTCAGCTTCATAGTGATGAAGCTCAATCTGACGACTGGGATTATACCTTCTCTGAATGTCTCCGCGGGTTTGCTTGGTTTCTTCTTTGTTAAGACGTGGACGAAATTTCTTGAAAAATCTGGAATGCTGAAGCAGCCCTTCACCAGACAGGAGAACACCGTCATCCAGACTTGCGTTGTCGCCTCCTCCGGCATCGCCTTCAGCGGTATGTCCTAAATTCTACTGGCGGTTTTCGGTTATCTCTCTCTCTCTCTCTGCAAAAACCGCTAGAGGTTTTGTCTTTATTATCGGTTCTCTTTTGTTTTCTAGAGTAGGAGAAGAAAAAGTGTTTTATCATCAGTTTCCACAGGCAGTAGTAGCAGTTCATTTGAACCAGACAATCGTCACCGTTGATTTGGTATACCGACCACTTGAGATTCTGTGGTTATATCAAATTGCCAACAAATCAACGGTGGTGAATATTGTCGCCGATGCTCGTATAGCCACCTGTTATTGCCGGTGATGAAGCTGTTTGGACAATCACTAGTCCCGTGCTTCGTTGCCGGTAACATCGGCGTAATTTTTGTCTAGGATCCGTTAAAGCTTTCGTAATGATCCGACTTCCGAGTCATCGGACAAAGTCGTCGTAGGTTAATACTGTAGATCAGTATTATCTAATTCTTCGGAAATGACTAATAATGATTCATCGACCTCTCAGTAACTTGGCCGATCGTCATTAAAGATTGATCATGTGATCCAATAAAACTGGATTGATTATTCAGCCTGTTAACCAGTGGGGGGGGGGGGGGGGGTCAAGAGTTTGTAACCGTCTGATCTAGGTAGAATATAGATGATTTTCACTCCGGGCGCACTAATTGCGTGGGACAGGTTGGGTTGATCTTTTCTCGTGACTCGTGAGATTCCAGATTCCTGAATCTTGGTTTTAATGGGGAAAGTGATGCTTGGCTTCTGGGTCTTTGATGGGGAAAATGATGCTTGCGGCCTTGGAGTGTCGTTGTCGGAGCTTTTGGTGATATCCTCATATCCTCCTTCGCTAGCTGCGAGTTTAGAGTGGCGCCACACGGCCCACTGGGCGTGCCCCACCCCACATGCACACTTCACCGTGCATTGGGAATATTGCTGTACACGATTGAGATGTCTTGTGGGGCATGCCACATATGCGTTCTGTGGCTGCCGTTGTAAATTCGGCAAGTGTTCAGATTGGCGCCCCACATGCTCCCTACGAGGCACGTCCCACCATCCCACTTACACATCTCACAGCGCATTAGAGACATCCAAATACACAATTGGGATGGATGTCTTGTGAGGTGCGCGTGGTGTGCGCAGTGATTCTCACGACATATTAATTGATCTTTCACCGTTGAAATAGTTGGCGGTGCCAGATTGTCTATTAAACTTTAACGTATGTAAAATATGACAATGGGCGAACTTTTTAATTTTGGTAATAAAAGCTGAACAAAAAGCAGAACAATCACAATTAATGAACAACTGTGAAAAACGCTGAACAGAAAGATATGTGGGTTAGACTTAGTAGTATAAAGGAGCGAGCCGTTATCTAGATATGACAATGAGTAAGATGGGCCTAAAGCCAGGCCTACCATTAGTATGTTAAAATAATTTTTTTTTTCATTTTTTCTTGTTGAGCCCATGGATGGAATATGGACTTGGGATCATACAGGAGTAGCCTAGAAATCCCTGGTCCAGGTGTGTGTGCTTTGCCTAGACCAGTTATATTAATTACTCTGGTTTTGGAGTCTTGGGTTTAGGTAAACCCTAACCCAACTCGAGTTTTTGAACGGGCAACCCTAATCCAATCTGAGCTTCCTTATATTTGGTTGAGTTCATTCCATTTTGTTTTTCAAAGATGTTTTTTCCTTAGACTTGGATTAGTCAATTAAGGTTGATTAATTTAGCATAGGTATACAACGTTCTGGTGCTTTGGGAATAAAAAAATCATAAGCTTCAATCTTTACAGGGCCTCAATTCTAACCAAACTAAAAGTCAGGTTTGGTTCATATTTTTTAACCTAATCTAACTCTTAGGCCTAGTCTTGGGAAACAAAATTGGTCCTTATGGGCTATAGTCTGTCTTAATTCTTTCTGATCTAATTTGGGCAAATAGAGTTGAAAGAAATGCTAACTGCTAGGATTAATTCAAGCCTACTTGAAGCTGGTCTCCAATTTGAAGCCCAGCTGCACTTGAACACAACTGCTACACTCTCAAGGTACTACCTCACACTCACATAAATTGAGTCAGTGTTTGGTAAGGGTCAGCCACGGTTCAGGTTAGATTTCGCTCCGTCACATTTGCTAAGATTAGTGCATATACGAATTACGAAGATGATCTGATAAGAATCCATAATATTTGAATTGGATTTGGACCATTTGGTATTCAATAGATATGTCATATGTGAAACACAGATTCGGTTTTTGATCCATTTAAATATCCAGATATCTGATTCAAATCTGGTTTGGTTTGAAACTCGGTAAACCTATACAAAACTAGCATACACCTAAGAAGAAATCATGCATTATAGACAGACAATAGTAGGTTTTTAATAAACTCCCAAATCCAACTTAATCCTAAAGAACTTTAAATAAAAATTCTGAAAGGGTCTAATATCCCCCTTCTCTGTCTTTCCATATGGATTCAACTAATTTAATTAGTGGATCACATTTTGGAATATCATCCTATCCAATTATTGTTAAGCAGATACCCAAATCTGACTCGAACAAATCAAACTTGAGTTTGAATCATGTTAGTTCCATCCATTTGCATCCTTTTGCTAGAAATAATACTAAGATACCACTACCAAAAAATAATATTGAGATTTAAAAATCGATGTAAGGGGTATTACGATCCACAAATCTGATCCTTTTGATTTAATACATTGGGTAAAATTGCCCAACACGAAGGTATTAAATCGAAACCAAACTAAGCCAATGTAAAGGCGGTTTTCCATGATGCAGCCAAAAGAGTTGATTTATGAATTATGATGATGAATTGTAATGGTGATAAACTGATGATAAAAGAACATAATTGTAGATTAAGTATTGCCACCTAAGTTCACCAGTTTTATTGTGTTATTCTTGTATCTAATCCTTGACTTGTAAGTATTTAACATATCCTTTTTTATCACTATGTTTAGCATATTCGTTGCTATTTATCTTTCTTTATCTTCTTTATCTGTTGCTTTTTCTAATGCATTTTGAATAATTTGAATTTATCAGGAGGATTTGGGAGTTACCTTTTTGGAATGAGCTCTGCTGAGGCGAAACAATCAGCAGAAACTGGTGCTGCACAAAATATTAAAGACCCAGCACTAGGGTGGATGATTGGATTTCTATTTATTGTTAGTTTTCTTGGTCTCTTCTCAGTGGTTCCCCTCCGGAAGGTACTTTCCAGGAACTTGTTGGATTTCTCTTTTTTGTTAGTTTTCTAATACTGAGTCGTGACTCAGTATGGTTTATACATGAGAAAGAAAAGGACTAATGAAAGGTAGTTTTGCAACTAAGAACGGTTGGCTTGTCATAGGATATATGTATTCAAAACCTAAATTTAAGTGGTTTCCCAAAACTGAAATCTCAAACTACTGAACTAGTTAACGGAACTGGACTTGAAACCCAACGCAAATAGTATTTGGCTATGAGTTTTTCAAACCTAGCCCAGTTCCAGTTGTAAATCCCAAACCGCCTGACAAACTCAATTCAGGTTGAGCCTCACATAGAATCATTGCTTTCGGGTTACAAAATTGACTCATGCTGTGAATTCTACTTGGGAATCTCGTGAATTCTTAGTACTAGACGTTATAGTTCACTAGTCTTTGGTAGGTTAATATTGTTCATAAGAAAGCGTGAAGAGTAAAGCCATCCTTCTAATCTGAGTTGAAAAGATACTATGATTTTGCAGCACTGAAATTCTTATCTCATCCCTCCAATTCATCTGTCCTGGTAGCCATTTATCCCACTCAACCTCTCTCTTTTTTATCCATTCAAACATAAAAGGATCCACAATGAGTTTTGTTCCATGCCGTTTGTGTTCTTCCCATTATCTTAAGCCTTTTGTTGTTCCCAATACAAACTTTGTGAGACAATTTCTAATGCTTGAAGCTACAATATTATGAAATAGACAATCATTCTGGAACATCAAACTTGATTTTCCCCCTGTTTGAAGATTATGCTGCTTAGAACCTTACGTTTATATGATTGTCCTCAGATCATGATCATTGACTTCAAATTGACTTACCCAAGTGGCACTGCGACTGCACACCTTATCAATAGCTTCCACACTCCCCAAGGAGCCAATTTAGCAAGGTTAGATTTAATTGATAAACAATACTAGAATGTTTACCTTAAAATTTGACTGATTGAACATTGGGATGTTCTGATGATTTTTTTCCTTTCATATTATCCAGGAAACAAGTCAGAGCATTGGGAAAGTTCTTCTCCTTCAGTTTCCTATGGGGTTTCTTCCAATGGTTCTTCACTGCAGGGGATGATTGTGGCTTTTCAAACTTCCCTTCACTTGGCCTCAAAGCCTACCAGAACAAGTATGTATAATGTTACTACTCTCAGATCGATTAGTAACATTATGAAATTGATTAGCTAAATTGGAGTTCAGTTGATTTCACCATCCAAAGAGTTTAGCAAAGCTTCTTCCATGAACAAACAGAGTGTTCAAGCCTTATGCAATCCTGATTGCATGTCTTCCCTTGGTGCTTGCATCTTTCATGGAAGAAGCAAAAATGAACTCCATCAAAAATTGGTTTTTTAACAACTCATGTTGCCACCTTTACTTGGTTTGAACCGACTCCGTCTTTAAGCAACTCATTGGGATGATTAGTATCCAATCTTTCTCATTTTAAATATTTAACTTGAATCATTGGTCATTTTTCTACCTACTATTTGAAAAGAAATTTGATTACAAATTCATTTAAATTTGGTAACATGACAATGGAATTTTTTGGTCAAGTTTCTAAATTCCAAAGTTTACATAGATATAAGCTCTTTTAAGTATCTAACCTCCTTTCATTGTTCGAATTTTTGGTTATTTTAATCAAATAAACAGGTTTTACTTTGATTTCTCTGCTACTTATGTGGGAGTTGGAATGATCTGTCCATACATCATAAACATATCTTTGTTAATTGGAGGGATTCTCTCATGGGGTGTCATGTGGCCTCTCATAGATGCTAAAAAAGGTGATTGGTATTCTGCAGACCTCTCTAAGAGCAGCCTCCATGGCCTTCAAGGTTACAAGGTAATCTCATCTCCCCTTGCTTCAATATAAGATAGCTTTATATAACATCTAAATTGTCCCCTACTCCCATTGCGCCCCCACCCCCTGCAAAAAAAAAAAATAATCAAAATCAAAAGAATATAAAAAATGTCAGTTATATTAATGCAACTCCCCCTACTTTGATTGCAGGTATTCATTGCTATTGCCATGATCTTAGGTGATGGCCTTTACAACTTCTTAAAGGTCCTAAGTAGAACTCTTATTGGCTTGTTTCACCAACTTCGTAACAAAGAGGCCGGGATTGTTCTCCCAATAGCTGGCCGACCCTCTCCTCCAAGCCCAACTATTTCTTATGATGACCAAAGGCGAATCCAACTATTCCTCAAGGACCAAATTCCTACATGGTTTGCAATAGTAGGTTATGTTGTTATTGCTATAGTCTCCATTGTAGCCCTTCCTCACATTTTTCCCCAGTTGAAGTGGTACTATATCGTGGTCATCTATGCATTGGCACCTACATTAGCCTTTTGTAATGCATATGGGTGTGGGCTCACTGATTGGTCCCTAGCCYCAACCTATGGGAAGCTTGCCATCTTCATTATTGGGGCATGGGCTGGGGCAGGACATGGTGGGGTTATTGCTGGACTTGCAGCCTGTGGTGTAATGATGAACATTGTTTCCACAGCCTCTG